AATTCTTTCTCTTTAATATCCCAGCAGGAAGTTCTCTTTGTCTCCTCTCTAGAACTCTCCTGATTGTAGTTCTTTTGGCATTTTCCACATCTTGCTGCGTTACAATGACCTGTGTACTTTTCACCTCTCCAGTACTAGACTATAATCTCCTTGAGGACAGGAACTGTGTCTTTTTCATCTTTGTATCCCCCACAGCAGGAGCAGCTAGGTGATGGAGTGAATAGAACATAGGGCCTGCAGTCAGGAAGACTGCTCTTCCTGAGTTCAAATGTAGCCTCAGACACTTACTAGTCTGTGTGACCCTGGAAAAGTCACTTAACTGTTTGCCTCATTTTCCTCATCTGTAAAATGAGCTGGAAGAAGGAAATGGCAAACCACTCCAGTATCTTTGCCAAGAAAACTCCAAATGGGGTAATGGAGAACCAGGCATGACTAAAAAAAATGACTAAACAATAATGAAAACTAACTCTTAGAACAGATTCCAAAGACGAGTTAGGGAAAGGTTCAGAGCCACATTTGAAATAGTGTCGGGAAGGAGAGAGCAAAGAAGCCTCCCCAAGTGACTCTTTTGAACACAGCAACACTCATTTGGATGCACAAATTCTGGTGCATGTGAAAAAAAATCATCCTTATTATAGTCACACCTGGGATGCTAGTCTAGGGGTATAGATTTCTAAATAAAGGATCTTTTTCAGCAGAGTGCACCTGGAATTACTTATTTTAAACCACCTGGGATGAGAACTACTTAGTAAAATATTTCTGTGAATTGGCCTCTTTTTCTTTTAAGTTCATCAGTTCTGTCTCTCAAGTGCAAACTCATGCTGGTTTTGGTGGCCATCATGGTAGAGTAGAAAGTGAATTGAATTTATAATCAGGGCCCCTGGGTTCGAAAGCTGGTCCTGCCATTAACTAGTTATGTGACTGTAGGCAAGGGCCACATCATGGGTCTCAGTTTCCCTGTCTGTAAAATGAAGAGGTTGAATTAGTTGACCTCTAAAGTTCCCTTCCAGCTATGAATTGATGAGCCAGTTAGCATGAAATATATGAAAACTGTCTCTATTGCAATAGATGAGAGATTTGCATTAGTTAATTTTTCCCTCCAAATTCCCTTAAATGTGGCTTTAGTGAAATTTTCTTCCCTAGAAGAATTTGTTTCAGTGGAACATCCTGTTTTGATGAACTAAAACCCCCTATGGTCCAGATGATATTTTATAAGTCTATAGTTGGCTATGTTGTGAATTAGCAAAGTTCTGCTGATCATGACTAATGTCATTGTATATTTATTCTTAAGTGTGTAAAAACACACCACACACACATATGCATGTGTACATATTTACATACATATGTGTGTAAATACACAGACATGTGTATTGTGCACATAGATAGATGGATAGATATAGACATAGCCTGGTGATTTCATTGATATGGGACACTTCTGGGGTAGAAACTCTAATGATGCAGATTGGCCACTTATATGTGACTTAGAATCTTGGAGAGTTTTATCAGGGCACTGAGAGGTTTGGAGACTTGTCCTTGGTCACCTGACATCTACATATAAGAAACAGGATTTGAACTTGGGTCTTCTTGACTCCTTAGCCACTAGGCCATAGGACCTCTTCCAAATCACTCACACACACACACACACACACACACACACACACACACACACACACA